AAATAAAGTCACACTGTGAAACAGCTGTTCGACCGCCATGAGGCCCGATTAAGTGAGACAGGGTTCTTAACACTACCTGAGCACAGCAGAGTTAACCAGGTCGGCGAGCCTGACCTAAAACACAATAAAATCTAAGAAAGTAAAGTTTATGTACATGTTTTGAAAGGGACGTGAGTCTCAAAAGGGTTACAGACTTCCACATCTAAAAAAAGTTAACAATTAGCAGAAGTGAAATTAGTAACACATGTGTCAAAAGCTTCATACAGTAAAGCCTGGTACATACTAGAAAATTTTTTTTTGTTCAACCCAGAAAAACTGAAAGATCAACTTACTAACACAATCAATGTTAGTGCTGCAATCTCTCCCGCTGTGCCTTTCTGTTCTAACAGGGGGACTGACCCCCACCAGAACACACTGATCAGTGCTGGCAGCCATTGGATCAGATGTGGGTCAGATGTTGGTTTTCCAGCATGTCCAATCCATAAAAACTGGACTTGGTTGCAGCTTCTATAGAACAGACTGTTGTACACACAATTTAAGGGTCAGCGGTTCTTGCTAAAGCTGTCAACTTTGGCCGATTTTCATCCCATGTGTACAAGGCTTAACACAGTCAGCACCAGCTGAACAATAACAACAGCAAGAAGCCTCACCACTACTGCAAGAAAAAGAACATCACTGAAATTGAATTTGACATCAGCGATTTATCTACTGAAAAGGAAGAAGCAACCTGTGTTCACTGCTACAGTTATTCTCCACTTCCTCAATGGTCCCAAAGGTATGGCATATACAAACTTATCATTGGTCCAAGCTGCACCACAGTAACTCAGCAAAAAAAAAAAAAACATATTGGGAGTTTAGCTTTCAAACAATATAATATACTGTACAATATAATATACTGTATATATGTATATATATATATATATATATATATATATATATATATATATATATATATATATATACAGTGTATATACAGTCATGGCCGAAATTGTTGGCACCCTTGATATTTTTCCTGAAAATCAAGTATTTCACACAACAAAAAAGGTATTGCATTAACACATGTTTTGCTATACACATGTTTATTCCCTTTGTATGTATTGGAACAAATATAAAACAGAGGCAAAAGCAAATATGACATAATGTCACACAAAACCCCAAAAATGGGCTGGACAAAAGTATTGGCACCCTTAACTGGTTGCACACCCTTTGGAAAACATAACTGAAATCAGTCGCTTCCTATAACCATCAATAAGCTTCTGACACCTCTCACCCGGAATTTTGGACCACTCTTCCTTTGCAAACAGCTCCAGGTCTCTCTTATTGGAAGGACACTTTTCCCAACAGCAATTTTAAGATCTCTCCACAGGTGTTCAATGGGATTTAGATCTGGGCTCATTGCTGGCCACTTCAGAACTCTCCAGCGCTTCTTTGCCATCCATTTCTGAGTGCTTTTTGACGTATGTTTGGGGTCATTGTCCTGCTGGAAGACCCAGGTCTTGGACGCAAACCCAGCTTTCTGACACTGGGCCCTACAGTGCGACCCAAAATCCTTTGGTAATCCTCAGATTTCATGATGCCTTGCACACAGTCAAGGCACCCAGTGCCAGAGGCAGCAAAACAACCCCAAAACATCATTGAACCTCCACCATATTTTACCGTAACTGTGTTTTGTTCTTTGTAGCCTCATTCCGTTTTCGGTAAACAGTAGAATGATGTGCAAACCGAAAAGCTCTATCTTGGTCTCATCTGTCCACAAGACGTTTTCCCCAGAAGGCTTTTGGCTTACTGAAGTACATTTTGGCAAACTGTAGTCTTGCTTTATATGTCTCTGTGTCAGCAGTGGGGTCCTCCTGGGTCTCCTGCCATAGCGTTTTTCATTTCATTTAAATGTCGACGGATAGTTCGCGCTGACACTGATGCTCCCTGAGCCTGCAGGACAGCTTGAATGTCTTTGGAACATGTTTGGGCTGCTTATCCACCATCCGGACTATTCTGCGTTGCAATCTTTCATCAATTTCCTCATCCGTCCACGACCAGGGAGATTAGCTACAGTGCCATGGTTGCAAACTTCTTGATAATGTTGCGCACTGTGGACAAAGGCAAATCTAGTTCTCTGGAGATGGACTTGTAACCTTGAGATTGTTGATATTTTGCCACAATTTTGGTTCTCAGGTCCTCAGACAGTTCTCGTCTCCTCTTTCTGTTGTCCATGCTTAGTGTGGCACAGACAGACACACAATGCAAAGGTTAAGTGAACGTCTCTCTCCTTTTTATCTGCTTTTCAGGTGTGATTTCTATATTGCCCACACCTGTTACTTGCCCCAGGTGAGTTTACAGGAGCATCACATGCTTGTAACATTCTTATTTTATCCGCAGTTGTGAAAGGGTGCCAATACTTTTGTCCAGCCCATTTTTGGAGGTTTGTGTGACATTATGTCGAATTTTGCTTTCTTTCCTCCCTTTTTTTGTTTTGTCCCAATACACACAAAGGGAATAAACATGTGTATAGCAAAACATGTGTTAATGCAATACGTTTCGTGAGAAATACATGATTTTCAGGAAAAATATCAAGGGTGCCAACAATTTCGGCCATGACTGTATATACAGTCATGACCAAAAATATTGGCACCTCTGCATCTCTGGCAGATAATGCACCACTTTGCTCAGAAAATTGTTGCATTTACAAATGTTTAGGCATTTTCATGTTTATTTCTTTTGTTTCTATGGGTAATGACACAAAAAAGTGGAGAAACAAAAAGCCAAATCTGACACATTCCTGACAAAACCTTAAAATGGACTGGACAAAATTAATGGCAACCTTCTCACAGTTGAAAGAAATAATTGCATTCCAAGTTTGTTGTGCTCCTGTAATTTGAAATTAAACTCACCTGTATCAATGAACAGATCTTAATGTGTCTGTGTCCTCTATGTGAAAAATTGTCGAGAAGTTTACAGCCCACGGCACTGTAGCTAATCTCCCTGGACATGGACAAAAGAGAAAAATTTACCAAAGTTTTCAATGAAGGGTTGCTCTAATGGTGGATAAAGAACCTTGATCGGTTTCCAGACAAATTCAATCTGACTTTCAAGCACAGGGTATAACTGTCTCATCTCACACTATGCATAGCAATCTGAATGGAAAGGGATGCTGTGGTAGGAGACCCAGGAGGACCCCACTGCTGACACAAAAACAGAAAAAGGAAAGATTAGAGTTTGCCAAAATTTACCTGAGGAAGCCAAAATCCCCTTGGGAGAATGTGTTGTGGACAGACGAAATTACATTACAGATTTTGATAAAGCCCAACATTCTACTGTGTTCAGAAAGTAATTAGTGAAAAGAATATAGCACACAGTGGCTAAATGGTGGGCAGCATAGTGACTAAATGGTTAGCACTTTCACCTGTCAGTAATATGGTCATTGGTTCGAATCCCAACCACGGCACCACCTGCCTGGAGTTTGTATGTTCTCCCTGTACCTGTGTGGGTTTCCTCTCACTCCAAAGACATGCTGGTAGGTAATTGGATCCTGTCTAAATTAGCCCTAGTATGTGTATGTATGAATGTAAGTTAGGGACTTTAGATTGTATGTCCCTAGAGGGTAATGTACAATATTCATACCGTATATATGTATATGTAAAGTGCTGTGTAAATGAAAAGTGCTCTATAAGTACCTGTAATAAATAAAATATAGTCCCTACAGTCAAACATGGTGGAGGGCCACTGATGTTTTGGGGTTGCTTTGCTGCTTCAGGCACTGAATGTCTTGACAATGTGCATGGCATTATGAAATCTGAAGACTACCAGAGAATTCTGGGGTGCAAGGTAGGGCCCAGTGTCAGAAAGTTCGGTATCTGTCAGAGGTTATGGGTGTTACAGCAGGGCAATGGCCCAAAGTACACGTGAAAAAGCACCCGGGAAGGTTTTAGACAAAATACTGGAGAGTACTGAACTGGTCAGCAATGAGTCCAGATCTCAATCCCATAGAGCACCTGTAGAGAGATCTCAAAACAGCAGTTGGGAAAAGGAACCCTTCCAATCTGAGAGACCTGGAGCAGTTGGCGAAAGAAGAGTGGTCCAAAATTCCAGTAGAGAGGTGTAAGGAACTCATTGATGGTTACAGGAAGAGACTGATTTCAGTTTATTTTTTCCAAGGGGTGTGCTACCAAATAATCTATTAAATTGAGCATGCCAATAATTTTGTCCAGTCCATATTAGGGGTTTTGCGTGAATGTGTCACATTTGGCTTTTTGTTTCTCCACTTTTTTGTGTCATACTAAGAAAACAAAATAAATGAACATGAGAATGCTAAACATTTGTAATTGCAACAATTTTCTGGGAAAAGTGGTGCATTATTTGACAGACATACAGGGGTGCCAATATTTTTGGCCTAGACTCTGTGTGTGTATATTTATATACCGTATTTTTCGCTCCATAAGACGCACTTTTTTCCCCCAAAAAAAGGGGGGGAAATGTCAGTGCATCTTATGGAGCGAATATAAAGCGGCCGGTGCGGTATTTCTGCCGCCACCATGTCAGAATACTGGGCCGGCAGCTCAGCTGTTCTCTGCGGCAGGAACTCACCTGTTCCTTAGTCCAGCACTGTAGTCTTCCCACACTGGCTTCTTCCTGCCCCGGCATCTGTGACATCCGGGTGCCCACTGCGCATGCACAAGAAGCGCTGCGCTTTGTGAATGGTCCGGCATCTTCTGAGACACATGACAGGTCCCAGAAGATGCTGGGCCATTCACAAAGCGCAGCGCTTCTCGCGCATGCACAGTGGGCACCTGGCTGTCAAAGCCGGGTGCCCACTGTATAGGAAGGAGAACTCCGCGGAAGTGGGAGTGGGTACCTGTCAAATTCAGGTACCCGCTCCCCCTCCCTCCCTAAAGGTCCGCAGTGTCTGGTCAGGCCTTGTACTGTCTGCAGTCTCTGGTAATCCCCTGTACTGTCTGCCTTCTCTGGTCATCTGTACTGTCCGCAGTCTCTGTTCATCCCCTATACTGTCCGCAGTCTCTGGTCATCCCCTGTACTGTCTGCAGTCTCTGGTCATCCCCTGTACTGTGTCCGCAGTCTCTGGTCCATCTCCTGTAGTACATCCGCAGTCTCTGGTCATCTCCTGTACTATGTCAGCAGTCTCTGGTCCTTCTCCTGTACTGTGTCTGCAGTCTCTGGTCATCTCCTGTACTATGTCCGCAGTCTCTGGTCCATCTCCTGTAGTACATCCACAGTCTCTGGTCATCTCCTGTACTATGTCAGCAGTCTCTGGTCCTTCTCCTGTACTGTGTCTGCAGTCTCTGGTCATCTCCTGTACTATATCCGCAGTCTCTGGTCATCTCCTGTAGTACATCCGCAGTCTCTGGTCATCTCCTGTACTGGGTCCGCAGTCTCTGGTCATCTCCTGTACTATCTCCGCAGTGTCTGGTCACTTCCTGTACTATGTCTGCAGTCCATTGGTTCAGAATATTTTTTTTCTTGTTTTTCTCCTCTAAAACCTAGGCACATCTTATGGTCAGGTGTGTCTTATGGAGCGAAAAATACTATATATATATATATATATATATATATATATATATATATATATATATATGTATATATATATTCCAGAAATGATCAAACCGTCTGAATTCTTATTATTATAATACAGTATAAAGCGCCAATAGTTTGCTCAGCGCTGTACATTACAAAGGGGGACAGAACATGTGACAGAACAATACCAATACAATGCAAAACATGAGGGGATCGAGGGCCCTGCTCTTTCCAGCTTACAATCTAGGGGGGAAGGGATGGTGGCACAGGAGGAGAAAGCTGTGGGGGATGGAGTGGTAGGAAGAGTGGAGGAGGTTGGCAAATTAGCAGGGGGTGGGGTAAGCTTCCCTGAAGAGGTGGGTTTTCAGGGTGCTCCTAAAGGAGAGGAAAGTAGGTGATAATCTGATGGGTTGGGGCAGGGAGTTCCAGAGGATGGGTGACACCCTGGAGAAATCCTGGAGGCGGGCATGGGAGGAGGAGACCAGGGAACTAGAGAGAAGGAGGTCTTGTGAGGAGCGGAGTGTGCATGCTAGGTGGTACTTGGATATTAGGTCGGTGATGTAGTTCGGGGCAGTAAGGTGGCGATGTTGCGGAGGTGGAGTCTGCATGAGTTTGTTAAAGATTGGACTTGGGGCTGGAAGGATAGGTTGGAGTCCAGAATGACACCAAGTACTCTGGCCTGTGGGGCGTTGTTGGACATGATGGAGAAGTCAATGGGGGGTGGGGTCCGGGCTGGGGGGAAGACAAGAAACTCGGTTTTGGAGAGGTTCAGTTTAAGGAAGTGGAGCAACATCCAGTCTGATATGTCGCTCAGTAGGTGTGTGATTCGGGCGGAGACTGAGGGGGTGAGGTGGGGGGTTGAGAGATAGATTTGTGTGTCATCGGCATAGAGGTGGTAGTTGAAGCCGTGAGAGTGTATGAGTTGGCCAAGGGAGGAGGTGTAGATGGAGAAGAGAAGGGGCCCGAGGACGGAGCCTTGAGGGACTCCAACAGAGAGGGGGAGTGAGGGGGAGGTGGTAGCATTATAGGTAACACTGAAAGAGCGTTGTGACAGGTAGGATGAGAGCCAGGAGAGAGCAGAATCTCTGAGGCCGAGGGAGTGTAAATTTTTTGAGGAGGAGGGGGTGGTCAACTTTTTCGAAGGCCGCGGAGAGGTCAAGGAGTAGGAGCACTGAATAGTGGCCATTAGCTTTGGCGGTTAGCAGGTCGTTGGAGAGTTTGAGTAAGGCAGTTTCGGTGGAGTGTAGGGGATGGAAGCTGGACTGTAGGGGATCGAGGAGGTTGTTGTCGTTGAGGTGAGAGCTTAGGCGGGTGTAGACTAGGCGCTCGAGGAGTTTGGATTGAATTGAATGCATATCTGACAAATTTACTTAAAGAGGCACTTACGGAACTACCGCTAGAAGAACTGGTCATAGATTGAATACATAAACTTTCCACACCTAAACATTTCCCTGCAAAACTCCCCAAGGATACCATTGCAAGAATTCATTATTTCCATGTAAAGGAAAAGTTTATGTCACTCACCAGGAAAGCCACACAGCTCCCTAATTGTATGCAAGGTCTTTCTATCTATGTAGACCTCTCTGCATACACTATGCAATGCAGACGTAATCTAGCGACTATAACTAAACGTCTCAGGAACCATCATATTCTCTATCGCTGGAATTATCCCGCTAAGCTGATAGTGATCAAGGGAGAGCGAGGGTTTGTAGTCAATTCATTAGAAGAAGGCATGTGTCTGCTCAAAGTGTGGCAAATTCTTGATCAGCAAGGAGAACATGACCCACATCCATCTGCATCTTTTTATCACTCTCCTAAAGGGAACAGGGTAAAGCCCACATCAGTCCTGTAAGATATACAGTATACAGTAACATCATCCTCACAACAAATCTTTGGTGGATTTGACGGGTAATGTTTATTAGTTTATAAATCCCTCTATAATTAGCGGGATTACATCTCCGGTCAGATTTCTTCATAAAATTGCTTATTTTTACATTGGGGCCTTTTGCTCCATATTTTTTTTAATTCTTTTTGTTTTTATTCTCTAGTATTACATATCAGTTAGTGTGACTGTTCAATTGTCGTCTTGTTCGAGTGATAACCTAATATATTGTGCCAAGCTCTTTCTATCTGAGACTTACATATCTTTGTTCCCCTATCATCTATGAATATCTGCTGAGCAAAAAGACACAAGACAAACAAAAAGTCCATAGTGTGATCATCCTCTACAACCGATCCTCGACTGGGAAGCGGTAAGAATATATCTAAGTGACCTTAACACTCTGTACACACTTAGTTCATCAACAAGACTCTCACCTTATTATCATAATGTCTTTCAAGATAGCATCACTCAATGTTAATGGTCTGAATAGCCCACCACAGAGACATATGCTCTGGAGGGGAGCTTGTAAACAAAAACGTGACATAATGTGCCTACAAATTACTCATTTTAAAAAGCAAAATTCCCCTAAATTTTCACACAGCCAATTCCCCCATGCTTATTTCTCTAATACATCTTCAAAAATGTATGGAGTAGCCATTCTTATTAAAAACACAGTGGCATTCAAAAAGATTTCAACAACTTGTGATGAAGAAGGGAGATACATCATACTAGTTTGTGAAATAAACAATGTAATATATACCTTGATTGACACATACTCACCAAATTTAAGACAACTCTACTATATTAATAAGCTGCAGGAAAATGTTAAATCTTTGTATAAGGGTCCTGTAATCCTATGTGGAGACTTCAATGCAGTTTCTGACAGCCACATGGACCTTTCCAACTCCTGCTATCATCACTATAGAACAACTTTAGCCAACTTTCTTACATCAGACAAAGTTATTTGATATTTGGAGGTGCCGACATTCTACAGAGAAAGACTTTTCCTTCTTTTCTCAAGTTCACCTTACGTATTCCAGAATTGACATGTTTTTTTTTTTAATATTGTAAATTTTTATTAAGGGCCAGTGCCCATTTTTTTCCAGAACATAGTTACAACAACAACACTTTGGGTGTAAATGTTGCCATGTAAGAAAGAAAGAAAGAAAAGAAAAACAGAAGAGATATGAACATAAATAAACAACATGGTAATCTACACAATACAAAGGCATAAATAGACATAAACCTGCATATCATTGGGTTACATTATTTGTCAAAGGCACATTAACTGGAAAGGTGTCTGAACTATACGAGGGGGGGGGGGAAGAGGGGGAGAGGAAGGAGGTCTATTAAAGGGAGAATGATCTCATAGCTCCTATTTAGAGAGAAAGTGACCTGAGTGTTCACCCACTAGAGCTGTAAGATATTCCATTTCTCTGTTTGTAGAGATCGCTCTTAAGAGATGATTTAGCGTGGGAACATCAACTGATTTCCAGAGTCATGGTATCACCCATCTAGTGGCCGTCAGAATATGCACTCCCAACCTCTTAGATCGCTTGGAGATATCCCTAAAGTGTAGCCCCGAAAGATAGTGTAGCAGATCTAGGGGCAGGATAACATTGAGTACCTGTTCCAAGACTTTTCTAACCATAGCCCAATAACCTGCAATCTGTGGACAAAACCAATAGATGTGTGCAAAGGTACCTACTCCTCCCATGCACCTCCAGCATTTGGAATTGACATGTTCTTGATGGACAAATTTCTTACGCAGAAAAATTACCAACTCGGAAATCGATTTTATAGCATGTTCAGACCACGCAACAATTTCAATTACGGTGAGAACCCATGGTTCTACCACCTGGGCCAACAGATGGAAAAACATTGTCTATATTTTTACTCACAATGACATTTCTTCAGATAATGAGAACTATCTCATTACATTTTTTTGGTATAAATGGCACCCCTGGGATAGATCCACACACTCAGGGGAGTGGCCACAAGGCATTTATTAGAGGTGTTCTCAAAAAAGGTGGTGAGGAGGCAGAGAAAGCATCAAATTTAAAAAATTCTAGTTGAAATAAGCAGCCTAGAAACTAAAAACAAACAATCAACTTTGCTATCCATAAGCTCTAAATTAAATCAAGCCAGACACAAATTGCACAATTTATTGCTTTCACAACATGTACACAATATATGTACCATGAAAGCAAATCAAGACACACATGGCAATAAGGCAGGTAAATTGCTGGCACACCAGGTAAAGGAAAACATTACTACACAACGTATTCCATATTTCCTACATACTAATAGCAGAGCCAAATCACATAATCCTAAAGAAATTACAGATGTATTTAGTAGCTACTATAGAGCTTTCTACAATTTGAAAGATGATTCTAACATTTCACAATCCTCTCAGGATCAAATTCTGTAATTTTTAAACAATATATTTTTACCAAAATTACAAACTATTGATTTGGAGTTTGTAAATGCCTCTTTTACTGTGTGGAAATAGTAGAGATTATTGTGTCTTTACCACCTAACAAGTCCCCAGGTCCAAACAGTTACTCTTCAAAGTATTATAAAACTTACTCAAACATTCTATTGCCTTTCCTGCAAAGAGTATTCACTAGTGCTGCTTCCAAAGCCTCCTTTCCATCAGAAATGTTTAAAGTAACTATAATAACCTAGCGTAAACCAGGGAAAAAGCCAGATTTCACCCAAAACTTTAGACTAATCTCTCTACTGAATATAGATTTAAAAATCTACGCAAAATTATTACCCAATATACTGTCCACATTTCTCCCCAAATTGGTCAAACAAGACCAAGTAAGTTTTGTAGCTGGCAGACAAGCCCCGGATGCAACAAGAAGAATACTGAACCTTATCCATGCAGCTGAAACTAATAAAAGACCTTCCATCCTACTGTCGTTAGATGCAGAAAAAGGCATTTGACAAGA